TGCACTGTTGAAAAAGAGATGAGTTACTGTAATGCTACTTATAAAACAGTAGTTAAAAATGACTATGCATTTAAATTAGTCTGTGCCCTAATTGTACCAAGGCTGGCACCATGCCACTGTGGATTTGTCAGCACACTATAGGCATCTTGGTTGCTCTGCAGGTATCCAAGATGGCCCCAAAGAAGTTGAGGTCAAAGTCAAAAGGCTTTCATCTGGACTTGTTTTGCTTCATTTCTCACTCTTTTTTTCAGTCTGTTACACCCCTAAGAGATGCTATTGTTTCTCTGCTTACAAGTTTTATATTGTTTTGCGAGGATTTTAGATATAGAAGGGAGTAAAAAAAGGAAAATCTGGCACAACATATTCATTCCCAAGGGCTTTGAGAATGCATCCTGCATAATCATGTGAATTCATGGATTTGAATGATTCACCCTAGGGTTGACTTTAAATTCTGGCACCAATTGACAGCTTTTTAAGTTCCAATTCTGGCCAGATAGACGGAGGAGGGAATGCCTGGGAATTAGTTTCATCTTCTTTTTTTTTTGCATCAAGGGATTTCAGGGGACACAACCACCAGGGCAAAATTACACTGCACAGCCTGGTGCCAACTTGGCAAAGCCCAAGTGAGTCAGAGTTGGAACAGACCAGGGGGTGTACATGCTTCATTTCACAAAGAATTAGGACGACCGCGGTGCCGTGTGGTATGTGTCTGTCTGTGCCTATGTCTTTTTGACAACCTGTTGGGGCTTTATGTTTCTGTTATGCAGAGAACATTTGTTAAAAGGCATCACTCCTGCTGGCAAGGACCTGTATGCTCACAAGGCAAGTTTTTCTTCCCCTCTCTTTGCCTGTGAATCGACTTGTGTGCCATCATGATAGATGCAAACAGACATCCTCATTCAGAAACCTGCCCATAAGTATTTAAGCAGTTATGTCAATACTGTTGTAAATAAATGAACAAACAAAACCTGGGTTTCAATTTAATGCACACAAAGAACAGTAGGCAAATGTAAAGCTACTTGCTTGTTGGAGTTAGCTGTAACCATTAACGAAAATACAACAGACCAAATTAAGACAAAGTCAGATGATCATGAATCATCAAGATCTGCTCTCTGTTTCAAATTCATCACTATTTTGGATCAATCTTTTTAGCAAGATAGTTCATTTGTGAGTCAAAGCCCTGGTCTTTTTATAACATAATTATATTTAGAGTGTTTTCTATTCCTTATTTATAAGTTCTGAGTGACTGTGTACAGTTACTATACCAGATCCATGGCTCTGAGCCATGCTTGAGAGACCTCGAATTCTAAACTAATTTAGCCACTTGGCACATAACAGTAAAGTAGCCGGTAATGTTGACAGGCTTTCACAGAGATGCCTCAGATATAAAAAGGACTTTTTTCCTTCTGCCATAAATAACACATGGGCACTGCATGCTGGTACTGTATGTCACGTATACTGAGCTTCTCTCAAAGGCCATAGCATCAATGGTTTCCGTGCCTTTCCAGATGAAACTCTTCAGCTCATCAGTGGCGGCTCATAGTTTGTTAGCTCTGACTACCACCACTGCAGGTGTGAATGTAATTGTCCCCACTTGCACTGAGTAGTTACCATCAGCCAGTGTCCCTCGTGTCACTACATCCCTCGCATCTCCCCACCCATCCCCAAGCCTCTGTTTCACTTTTAAAATATTTTGGAAGTAGGGCCAGTAGTAGTAAAGAATGCATTACAGTAAAGTGATTTCATTTTTGTGAGTCAGTCAACTCTACAATGTTGTCGCCATATTGAAATTGAGTTATTGGCCAAAAATATTGTGATGTTTGATTTTCTAAATATCGCCTGGCCCTAGAAGTGAGGATCCTAACACAAATTGAGGATGTGCTCACTCTTTTAAGTAAATTAATAAAGGTGAATGTCTGTTATTGATTTGTCTGAAACATGTTTCCTGAGATATGATGATAAGATATATATAAGATATTCAGGCTTTCTTTGTGAATGCTCACTGGTACTCTGCTGAGATATTCAACTTCTATTCTATTATAGGGTTCAGTGGCCTTGACTCTTAGCTTAAAAAGCAGACTTACAAAAATAAATTGTAGAAAGCATAAATTGAATTAGTCAGATTTCAGTAAGGCTTTTCATCTTGATTATATGTGTATGACTAATACTAAATCCCCAACACTGTTAAAGACATCAATTTAAAAAATCTATTTAAACACTGCCGACGAGACCTGTCTGTTATCACTTAACCTCTTCCCTGCAATATTTGTCTCTTATAAAATTTTTCTTCCCATAGATATGGGCTAAAACAAACCCTGTCAATAGCAGTAATATGGAGACACAGTAAAGGTCTAGGCAGGAGCTATTGAATTCCACGTGCTAATAGATTCTGTCCTTCAGGTAGCATGACCAAACAACGTCCTTGTGATTTTCACAGGGTAATTATTAACCTCTCATCCTTGCTGTCTGCCCATTTCTCCTCCTGTCAGTTTCCTGTTCTCTTTAAAAGTGAGCAGTGAGACAGAGTGGAAGCTACAGATAAAGGGTAAAGATTTCTCCATCACGCTGCAAGGTAACTAGACAACTGTGGTCCTTGTCTCCCCAATGCCTCAAGGCTAAAACAAAGGTCCTAAGATACAGCTCAAATCTTTCATAAGCTGGCAAATGGTGGGGTCACAGAAAACCTGTTACATTGGATATCTAATTAAATTTATTTCTATCATTCAAAAAATTAGCAACTCATCTTCGAAGACTGTTTTCCATAAGTTTGTTGCGTCATTTGTTTCTAATCTGTATACAGTGCTTTCATATGATTAAGTGATCCCTGAGGTAGCCATATTGGAGGTTCCTCCCTGCCCACCTCTTGGACAACAGCTGTTGAATGCGCTGTAGCCCAGTGGTTACCAACTCGTACAGCCACGGGGTCCAGATTTCTCCTTTGTCATTAATTCAAGGTCCACAAAGTTTAATATATTCAGTATCATACTTGCATTTGGTCACGTCGTTGAGCTAGTTTGTTGTCTCTGTGAAGTAGCTGTCTGTTAGTCACTCACTCTACTGCATGAGACAGGACCTCAAAATAAAAGCTCTGTGCCGGAAATTCACTGTACTTCATAAGTGTGTTTTTTCACAAACATGCGGCCCATCAAGAATGGACCCACGACTCACCAGATGGGAACCACTGTTGTAACCTATCTCTAAAAACAAACTTGGCTCAACAAAACTAAATAAAGATGGTTTATATCTGTGTGTGATCATTTTGTTGCCAATCTTTTTCAGACTGATGTTCATGTTTTGAAACGTTTTGCATTTGAATAATGCCAACTTTATCCCTCACACTAACACATATGTTTGTATTTATCATATAAGGGCTGCTGTGTAATCCCAGTTGGTTTGCACATGTGTACTTAAACTGATTATCACCTGGATTTTAATGCTGCGTTACCATTAATCAAAAAGCTGTAGTTTTGACTTATGCAAGAGGGTACTACTGGTGTAACATTAGCAATCAGGGTTCTGAGAATAATTACTGTTACACTGAATAAACAAAGAGGACTTCTCATAATTGCTATTTTCAATTATCAACCTGATTTCTGATAATAGGCCTAATGAGCCAACCACTGATGATAAACAATGAACCTGTCCATAGCAGTTAATGTTACAGAAGGCTAATAGTTGGTGTTTTTAGCTAGTTAGCTAACTTACCTTGCTCTTCAGCTAGTTAGCTAGCCTGTGGGACCTCAGACCTCATACTAAGCTAATACTTAAATATAAAAATGCCACATACTTTCAAGTTGAGTTTACTCATGAACACATACATAACGTTACGTCAAGATATAAATAGTTTTGACGTTTGCCATTTCAGCAGTTATGCGACATTTAGCTAACGTTAGGTTTACTTGAACAGTGGGAACACTGGCTGACAATATGGCAGAAACGTTAAATAACTTTAACAGCAACGTACCTGCTGTCGTGTCTTCATATAAGCTGCTAACAACCAGAATAAAAAATATCCGAAAAAATTATGTAGTAATTTAATTAACTGTTAGTTTTAGTAACATTGCCGAAATAACGTCATTACAGTAGGTTTACAGTCAATTCGACCAATGGCCGTTAGTCTCACTAAGCTAGGTAGACGCCCACGGGCAAAGCGAACCAATCCGCTTCTTTCCAGGGTTTCATCAGCCAATCAGAACAGAGCATCTCAACGTAACACTGCCTACCAGCCAGGTGTTGATTAACAGCTAAATTGATTCATCCAGTGGTCTGCAGCTTAATAACGCAATTGCTGAATATTCTGCTATTCTTGAGCGATATTAAACGCCAAATATTTCAAATAAAGCTAATTTAGATAGTTATTAACATTTTAAATCGTCACCAAAACGTTTATGAACAATTTTTAGTGTCATGAAAGTGGTAATTTATAATTTTTAGAGAGATCTGGCGCCATCTTTTGGACTTTTGTCACAGCATTGACTAAAATCATATTTAAGTCTTGAAGCAAAAATCTGACAAAGTCATTACAACCTATTTGTCCATGTTGAGAATGACATACTCTCTTTGAAAAATGAAATGGGAAAGTATAAGAAAATGTCTGTGTTTACACCTCAAGGTAACATTCCAGTTGGTCTTCAAATTATAAACAATTTAAAATGGGTATACCAATAACATTAAATGCACGAGGCAGCTACTTGTCCCTTGCCACAAGTCACAGCATAAGAGATATCAAGACAGGAGAGCACTGGTTCACAGCAGTTTAACTGTGCTAAATTTTACAACAAATGTGTTTTGTCAGACTATTTTTATCCACTTCATGTTCTTTGCAACCCTGATTTGATTTATGGTTGATGTGATTGATTTATGTCACTGTAAGTGTTCCTCCAGCTTGATAGAGAGTGAAGGTGATGTCCTCGGTGGGAAGCAGTACTGTGTGTGTGTGTGTGTGTGTGTGTCAGCGTGTGTGCGAGTGTGTACGTGTGGGAGTTGCACAGGATATTTACCGTGGAGAATGGTTCCTGGGAGGAGGTACGTGACATTGTGGCTGTATCAGCGCTGCCTCGCCTGCTGCTCTTGTGCCCTTCAGCCAGCCAGCACCCTGAGGTTCCCAGCAGAGCGGCCACAGCCACAGCCCAAACACCCAGGCTGCCCATGAGTGTGTACCTGAGAGGAGAAGGAAAAACACAATGCACACAAAGTCCTTAGACTCACTTTGTTGTACCCACTGCAGCTTCCAGAAAAATAAAACAAGGCCTCTTCATGTTTATAAGAGGAATGAAATGGTTTACTGTACCTGAGCTTTATAATACAGAAACAGAATCTTCTTTATATATTCCATTATGAATGCAACCTTAACTGTACTGTAAATCTTCATGCCTTATTTGTGATTTTAATCTACCATAATCATTTAATTACTTGTTTTAGAATTGTGATGTAACTGTGGGTCTAACAGTTTAGTCGTCATTGTGATGTCTGCAGAGAAAATAAAGACAGATGAGCTGAAGCTGTGTTTAGATAAACTCATTATGTGTTTTGGAGTGTATGTCATGTAACCATTGTATTGTACAGAGCACAATGGTTGTGCAGAGGAGAGAGTTCAGAGAGTTCAGAGAGACTTGTTTTAGTCGCTATTTCTGGGCATGACGCGGCCCAAAGAAGGCATATATGTACAGGCTAATATACCAATAACTCGATAACTCTATGTCTTTAGCATCTCTAACTATGAAATCCTATGAGACTGAGAGGTATCTGTATTGTAAGAATGCAAACGGAACATGCCAGACTAATAGATGAAATGATGTTCATGCATGCACACTGTTACCCGCAGTAGAACAAATACCGTACACTCTCATGCACACGCACACGCACAGGCACATGAACATGAACACACAGCATAATACAGCTAGGTGAACATCAAAGCCCACACACTGATGGGGATAATTATCTGTATTACAAAGGACACGGAAAATCTTTTGATGTCAACAGAGTGACAACCCTCTGAAGTCGCGAATGGTGGAGCGTGTGTAAACTCGGGAGATCAGTTTCACCGCTGTGACACATACACGCTCGCACACACGCAAACACATGCAAACCTTCAGGAAAAAAACACACAAAGCATCCCCACTGCACTGTTGTGAGTAAAAAGCACTTGAAGTAGTTGCAGCTAAGCTTTTTTTTTTTTTTTTTCAAGCAGATGACTAGTTCCTTTGAACGTTTCTATTAAAGATGGTGAGCTGGTATTATGATTAAATGTTAAAATGTGCTTTTAATGGTACTGCTGCTTTGGAGGACATGAGTTCAGGAGTGAATGAACCAGACAGCTATTCATTTCAAGTGGAATAAGTCACTCATGTTCATAAGGGGAAAAATGTAATAATAAGAGGACCTTGCATTAAACTGTAATCCCACACACCATGAACATAAACCAGCAGACACATTAAATAGCAAAGTGCTGTTCACCGGTGTTTCCGTCCACCCCCTGTTGTGTCTAACGCCCTCCAGAAAAACTTTTGCACTGATGAGAAACATTTATTAGACTCCATCAAAGCCCTGACTCGTGTGAGGCCTTATCAGCTGATGCCGGTCTTTATGGTTACACTGTGTGACACGGCAGTTTGTCATGTGTGCATTATTGTACTTTCAGGTAATGCGTTTATTGTTTTTTACCGTGGTCTTATACTTTATTATGTGACTTTATTGTGTGTTTAACTGCAGGACCGGTCTGAAAACAAATTTCCCTTAGGGGGCCATAAAGTTTGCGATTGAACTGAAACAAGGGCACAAAAACACATCATGCATCTCAAACAGTGCAGGTGTTTATGGCGTTAAACGTGTGCAGCAGCTCTCGCCTCGAATATTGAATATTAAAAGCGTGCCATGATTCACCTTGACCTGTGAATGCCCCGGCCTTGCCAGCTGCAAAGGTACTGTCTGCTTTAAATGTCTGTGCTTGGTATTTGCAGTAAAAGTAATATTGCATTTATTTTCACCATTTTTCAGCTGTAGTAAAAAGGTTAATGTCAATGAGAAAATAAACTTGAATTTTCCAAAAATGGCAGCAGGAAACAGTAAAAAGAAACAAGATTTTTTCAAACTAACCACCAGTAGTATTCAGATCCTTCTTTTAAATAGTAATGCCACAAACTTAAAACACTCACTGTGAAGGATTTTCTCGTAAAAATCTCTGTCTATCATCACTTATGATCCACTAGAGACGTGTGGCAGTTTATCTTTCAGCCGAATCTTTGCCTTCTGCCTGTATTTTCTTATTTCCTGTGCTTAGGACATTTATGGGTGTGTACCCCCAAAGTGCTCAGGTGAGATTGAAGCTTCGTAAAAATGTAAGAGACACGGTGCCCAAAGAAAGCAATCATAGTGAGGCAAAAGTGAATCTGGGGTTGGCTTTTACTTTAACTTTTGCTGGCGAGCATGTTTAGCAACAGTAACTGACAATCCTGTGTGGTAAACCTTTCCGTCCTGCATTCACATACTTTTTCACGCTTTAAAGTAAAGCTGCATAAATTGATTTTTTGGGGGCACTTGTGGGCAAGTGCAAGATGTAATTTCAACACTGACATATTATCATGTCAAACTTAATACGGGCAAATGTGTTAGACAACAGTTGTCTATTTGCACAGAAGGGATGTGTAGTAACATTCACAGCTTTTATTTGGAATCATGTTTAAGGACACCATATGAATTAAGGTCTAGTTTGGTGTCCACTAACTTCTGAGAAAAGCATTTCACCGTCAATGTGAAATGCTCCACTATGTTCAACAACTAGTCTTTCTGCTATTTGGTACTGAGCAAGTAGTGTACAGTAAGATTATCAGAGTTTTTTCATTGAAAGCAGCTGCCTGAATCTTGAAATGAGTCAGATAAATGCATAGTTGTCAGTGAAAAGACAACTCAGTGATTCAAATATGAGCTACCGCTTTCACATTACACTGTCATTTGATCCATTGTCAGTAGAAAAATACTGATTCATGTAGCTTTAAGTAAAAGTCATCCCAGTCACCAGAAGAAAATGTTGGCATTGTAGATTTTTGCAAACCATGGTTATGTTACATTAACATGTTTCCTGTGCATCATATAAATGATTCTAAAATGACGTAGTATAGGAGCTGACTATGTTATTTGGAGCAGAGGGGATTGTGAACGGTGTGTCACCTTTGCGTGACAGGTGCCAAACTGCAGGCCACTGTTCAAGACCAAAAACAACATTTGAGCTAGTCATTGCTGTTTTTCCACTAGCTTTTTGGGCTCCAAACTTTGGTGTTTTGTAGCAACCTGTTGGTGGAAATAATGCCATGAAAAGCTGTCATATTTCCCTTAGTCATACCTGCTTCTCCTGCTGGGACTGTGCCCCCAAAACTGGATATTTTAAGCCAGGACATGTGCTGTGTCACAAATCGCGTACTTCTGTACTTACACTTAATATTTTGAGTGCCTAAGTGCATTCACACTGAGAAGTATGGAAAAATGCAGTGCACTATGAGTATGCGGATGATGCACTCAAAACAGTCAAGAAGTTGAGTGTGGAACTATGGATACTTCTAGCCCTCATCTTGGCTACGTAGTGGAAGGGGAGGGACCACTTTTCAAACAAGAAATAGCGGCTGAGGACTGTGTGACCGTGAACGCTGCTGCGTTGTACAAATACATGTGTTTTTTGCACTAAGCATCACTATACTGTTGTCGGGTATAAGCCAGCAGTATGTCTGTTGGGTTAATTTAACAGTCTGTAATGATTTGGTACCGCGAACGATAACACAAATGCTAATGCTAGTTTGCTAACTAGGTAATTTGCGGTCGGCATTTCCAGTAAGTGCACAACGGCCGCGCTTGTTTTGAGACAACACTACCCTGTCGAAATTTGCACACTATGCCAGTAAGTGCATAGTGCACACAGTAGGCTATACTACATGGAAGTGTGCTAACGGGAGTACGCGATTTGAGACACAGCAATTATCTTTTCCCAGCCATAACCAAGTGGTTTTGTTGCCTAAACCTAACCACAGCATTGTTGAAACGTAAAGTATCAATGTATCAAATCTGCACACCACGGATTTGTACAACATTTTTTGTGCATTTGGATTGGTAAAAGTGCACAAGTATTAATAGCAAAATGTACATGACGTACCAAAAGCACTAGAACATGTGGGGGGAAATACCCCTGTCAGTGGTTAGAGTATGATTGCATGTTCTATTAGCTGTATGACAATGCATATTTAATATGTTACGTGACAAAATCTCAATTCTGATGATCCACTTTGAGCTTTCAAATGTTTCTCACTGTCTTTATCAGCAAATGGAGCTGGCAAATGTGTCAGACCATGATATCTTAAGAGGTGTCAGACAAATGCAATAGTGTAAAATGTTTGTCTGTCACATGTGGCATATAAAGAAAGCTGACATACTCAGAGATGTACCTACTTATAGTATTGTAGTAAATGCACTTTCCAGCACTGCTAAACATACACAAAATCATGCCCTGTCAGTGTAAACATCACTCGATGAGGAACCACCACATCATTCAGCTAGCTAGCCTGAGGCTAATGGGCCCTCACAGAGGAGAGCTCACCCTTGTGAAATTAAACACCAAATGAGATCTGCCAGTCACTGTCTTAATGTGCTGCCTGGCCCCCCTGGCATTGGCTCACACACATCTACACACATTCATACATGAGTACACATGAACACACACACACATACACACATACACAAACAGAGCCCTGGTGGTGTTGAATGAATGGTCTATTTTGAAATTCATCAGGAGGGAGAAAGTCTATGAGGAAGCCATGATTTGACCAGCATATTAAAAAGCTTAAAGAGACAGACTCTTTAAAACCAGTGCACCCTTTGGAAACTTGGCTCAGATCAGCCTTGTTCAGGGAAGGGACTTGCATAATAAACAGATTCAAAGTGCTGAAAGTTAAATACAATCTATTCACATCCCAGCTACCTTCTCTCCCTATCTCTCCCTTTTTCAGGTTTCTTTCTTCAGAACTTTCAATTTATTGGGACACAAAAGTATTGTTATGGGCCCAAGGAGTCCTATAGAGCTGCCTGCAGCCAGCCTGTCTCCTTTTCCAGTCGCTTATTTTTTTGGAAGGAAATTTCTTTCTCATTTTCTTCATATACGTTGCAGAGAAATTGGTTTG